TAAAATATAAATTATATCATTAAATATATTTGGTTAATAGTTTTATTATTAAGTCTTTGGTAATAAAAAATGAGCATATAATAAAAAAGATTACTGCATTTGACTGGAAAAATATGAACTCGTTATTTTCGGATAAATATACTGCACTCCCAAGGTCGTGCAGTATAGCCATCTGAAAAACTCATTCATATTTCCCATACAAATGCAGTAACCTATAATTACAGCATGTCTTACTCGCAGTTGGACAATTGTTCTCTTTCGTCGACATATTTTGTCACTGTCATTTACCTACATTATATCACACTCCTTTCTGCAGCTATAAATATATTACAAAAGTTATTTCTTCCATCGGCATATGTTAAACTTTTGATCTGTTCAAAGAAACGAGAAAAAATAATAATCAAAATATTCAAAATCTTTTCAAATATCCATAGGATTTTTGAAAACTTCACATGTGTATAAGCCTACAAAATATCTCTATACTCGTAGTAGGTGACAGCAGCCTAAAAATCATTTTCCTTAGACCATATTGGATTGTCTGTGGAAACGTATTAAATACAGTGTTTCCTAAACTGAATCTGAAAATGACTTATGTCCCTGCAATTTTGTTAAGTTTAAGCACTACTATGTGTTTCTCTTTCCCAGTGAATACAACTGTGCAATTAATGCAGCCTTCTTGGTGTGTGCTGTCATCTTTTACGAAACAAATGCTGACAGTGACGTCTCTTGCCCATCTAACTGTGTTAAAGTAGAACTGAATGGTGTAACGTTTGTAAGATGCTTGTATTCTGCTGCAATGTGGTAGCAGCGTCACTGGGGTCCACTTGTAATGTGTCGGATTTGTATCATATGTTGCTGCATTACATTTTTATGTTACTCAGGAATGACACTTTGAACCTGCGATGTCCATAAAGACAAGTTAATCACGTGATCCCATTTTAATACTCTGATCATAAGTTAAAGCTTCCAATTGTTTGTTCAATTATGCAAAGTAACATTTGTTTGTTAGAGTAGTAAATGTAGTATTAAACTTTAATATTGGAATCTACACTATAATAACTCTTATAAGTTACGTTTAATAAACACATAATGCTAAAATTGTTGTTTTGGATCACTAATATTTATATACGGAAAAACCTAATGAATGGGTACACATTGTCAGAGCTAGGTTAAGTTATTGTAGCGTACTATTTTTCTCTAATGCTAGATTTATGATTATACAGCTCTCTCTCTCTCTCTCTCGATATATATATATATATATATATATATATATATATATATATATATATATATATATATGGAGGGAAAGGATGGTGAATAAGAAGGTAGTAACAAAAAAAATTAATCTTTATCTCTCTCTCTTTATATATATATATATATATATATATATATATATATATATATATATATATAGAGAGAGAGAGAGAGAGAGAGAGAGAGAGAGAGAGAGAGATTAATTTTGTGTTACACTTGCTTATTCCCTGTCCCTTCCCTCCAAAACAAAGAAATTCCTATGATATCCTATCATTTCGATTGGTTTAATCGGAAAAAAAATGGAGCAAAACGTGAGAAAGCAATCATCACTGCACTTTGACACCAATAAGCGTATCATATATGTATCTGTAATATGAAAGTAAATGGTCCTTGATTTAGCTTGAATTATATCATTCTTTTATATTCTTTGTAACGTTTATGGTAAAAAGAGAATATATTAATAAAATAAAACATTGTTTGATGACGAATATGTTAAAAACTTAATGAAAAGTAAGTGCCACTGAAAGGTCAGTTAGTTTAGGGTATTCCTATTCCCTTTGTAAAAGTCTGAAACATTTTGTTGGCAGTTTGGCAGGCTCTTCATTTAATAAAATGTAAAGAGGATGGAATTAAATTAAATACAGTTCTTGCTAATGTCATCAGTTCAGCGAAGTTAAAACCAATAAAGTAATCATTGACATTTTTTTAAAACTTCTATATCCGTAAATCAGAATATTTTCAATCCTTGAAAGGCACGACGAGAATAAGTCCACAAAATATCTCTTTATTAGAGACACTAAGCAGCCTTTATTACACAAACTAACCTGCCGTGAGATATAATTTTTGGACAAAAACGGGATGCCTTAAGATCCTTATCTGACGACAAAACCTTAATAATGAACGAAATTGACAAAGACAGTACCGCATTCATAATATGATAGGAAATTTCATAGCCTTGAGAAAAATGGCATAAACCAGAGAGAATATTTAGATGAAGAGACCATTAGGGTTTGACTGAAATAATCTTTTCCATATTGCTGATCATCCGCTAGAGTATTATCTAGATTATTAACACAGGGAACTAGTATTAAAGATCAACAATTGGAAGATATTTGATAAAGAGAACAAACAGCAGCAAACTTCAAACTGATATTCTAGCCTGCAAATGTTCCACTTCTCTCATAATGTGTTATTGAATTTGTTTCCATTAAATTGGACGAAAGCAATATTTCACATATCGAAGATATTGGATTATTATGTCATCATAGAAATTTTTCTATATATTAACTAGTTATATTATCATCAAATAACTTTCTATTTGATGTCATATTGTATCGATTGGCTTATTTTTGTTAAGATAAAATTGAACATTTCCCCGCAAAGGTCTATTTTCGGAAAGCAGTAGCAAAATCCGTTACTCCGATAAGATGTTTCGTTACAGTACATTTCCTATTCACTTCCGGTGTTTTGAATTTGAACAAAAACATATGGATTACGCATAGGACACAAAGCAACCAGTCAATAAGTGGATGATGCCAGTTGTTCAGAACTTGTATTTGCAACATCTACTCAAAGTAAAGGATGATAATTTGCCTGAAGCTGTGATCGCTGAGAAATAAAAAAAGACTATATATGTATGGAGACTTTAACATTGATAACATTTTAAATATCTGAAAAAGAAACCCTCCGGTCCTAAGATGAGAACAAGCTGAGGTTTTACTTTGCACATTATACAAACATAGATCAAGACAGAAAAAAGCATGGATACGGGTATTATTATTATTATTATTATTATTATTATTATTATTATTATTATTATTATTATTATTATTATTATTATTATTATTATTATTAAGGCATTTGAAAATACTTTTTGGTAATAATGTCGATGACTTCAACAGTGCCATTCAATGCAACACAGATTTAGAAAAGCTTTCCTATCCTCTTAGAAGTTGCTGGTTAGGAAAATGTAGAGATAGGATATCTGACTCTCTCTGTAAATCCGTCCGTCCGTCTGTAGCCATTTTTGTCAGCATAACCTTAACTGATTAGGGTGTTTTTTCTTTCTTTCTCAAGTATCATATGTGTATTATTGGCTTCAAGTGAATAGCAAATGTACTGTAACGAAACATCTTATCGGCGTAACGGATTACATTTATGATTATTGTGTTCCCATGGCTAGATATAGAAGTCTATTGATCCAGGTTCTGCTAGGTTCAAAGTCAAGTTCACTGGGACTAATAATTATGACTTTCCTTTATCCACGATAAGTCATATTTGATTAGCCTAATTTTCATCAAACTTCTGTACTATACTTTAGCAGAAGCAGCTTTTTATTTACTCTGAGTTCCACGTGATTAATGTCAAGGTCATTCTAATTTTAAGCTTTAATTGTTTTTGTTTCTGTTCGATACGTTTTTTAAAGTCCAGTTATATCAAGCTTCATAGTTAGTTTATATATGGAGAGAACTATCTCTCTTCCGAATTTTGGGCCCGATGGTTAAAGACCAAAGTCATATGAGCTAAAATTGCAACTTTTTTTGGTTTCAGATCGTAAGTTTACTTTCCTCAAGTTTCCCAATTTCTATATAGTTATATTTAAATTAAATTCGAGGAAAGATAGCCTACTATTGAGTCTGCTATCGATAAATCAAAAGTCAAAGTTAACTGTTTGAAATGACAGAATTATGCTATTTGTTTCATTTGAAATAGTTACGGCCATTTGGATTCAATCAGATGTTATTATGTTGGCCGTTTTTCAGTAGGATGTGCAATTGTAACGTTTTAATTAAAGACAAACTAGTAATATTGTTCCCTCAAAAGGAGGACTTAATTATCGTTTATCATCAGCCGTTTGCCGACGATTTATATTCTTAAATTCTTATTCTGAAAGGCATACATCAGTTTAAATTCAAGATATCTTGAAGTATGTGTCTGTAGGGAGATAATATATGTTGAAAATATATTTAGAGTTCATCACAGGATTAAACATTATGCCTGGTTAAAAATTTATAACTTAAAGTGTATGAAGTGGGTTATAATTATTTTACATTTATGACCCTTTCTACTCAATGATTAAGACAGGTATACACCGATGAGACATACCTTCAAGCGATAACTTAACATGTCCGTCGATGTTTCTGACTGTACAAGGATTTGGTATGTTTTGTTCCTTAGTCTGGACGAAGCTTCATACCTCATGGCATGTTTGTAATAATGCTAGCTGCATTAAAGCGCGACGCTTTCCTCATTTAACAAACGTTACAAATCACTCCTTTCCCTTCCCTTCCCGGTTCAATATCTTGGTATGTAAAAAATATTTTTATTCAGTTAAAATAGTGGGTTTTTTGGCTATGAAAATACGTTCTTTAATATTTGTGCGCGTTCTTACAAAGTCAAAGTTACTTTACTCATACGAAGAAAGGAGCGAAAACTTCAGCCACTGCATGCACAAAACAATGCAATTACAGAGATAATATGATTAATAAAATAAAACAGAGGTAGTCATACAAGTGGTACAAGTGTGTATGTAATTTGGATTTTTAGTGTAGCTTGAAATAAATTTCAGTCTTTACGATGTCTTCATTGTGGCAGTTTATAGTGATGTCTAGCATGCCGCAGACATGTAGCATGATGTCCCCCCAGCCATATTATTCTGACATCAGTACAACTAGTCATAACACTAACTCTTTATGTTGAGCGCCTAGCTAGGCAGCTGTTAGCACCATTTTTAAAAATCTGTGGTATGACTCAGCCTGGGTTCGAACCCGCGACGTCCCGAATCCAAGTCGGACGCTCTAACCACTTCTTTATCGGAGCGGTCGGTGGTTTAAGTAATTATGTATTTGACAGTTTAAATACCATCACAAGCATGTAATTTAAACATTCACATAGTATCGTGCACGGACAATTTTTAATAAAACTGTGCTATATAATACCCAGACCTTACCAACGTCAGTACTTATTTCACACAATATTTTTTTTAAAACGAGAACATAAAAAACCCAGTTCATCTCCAGCACATTTAATCATTCGCATTCCTAACTGAAATAGTCTGATTATTAATATTGATGCGCATTCGTCAAGTCGCCTCTGTTAATGCAGAGGCACTAAAAAACACATATTTGATTACAAGATAGAATCCTCATAACTCATAAAAAATGAATCGGATCCATAAGCAAGAAAGACCTATCTGACAAAACTTTTCTGGTTCCATACAAGTCTTGAAAAGAAAATATAAAGTGTCACACTGTATAATTATATCCATACATAGTAATATAATATGTGCGACACCATTTGATTATATCCATATATAGCTCAAATATATTCTATCCACAAATTGCTAAAGCATAAAGTGTCACTACGTATTATAGAATCCCTATGTAGGAAATGTAAACGTGTCACATCGTATAACTCTAGCCATAAACTCAAGAATACTATTTGCCAGAATCGTTAGCTCGGGACCTTACTTTTCTATCTTTTTCTCTGTGCTTTCATCTTTGTTTTCATCTGTTATCATCTAAACAGGATAATTCTACTGTATGGCGTCGAACATCTCTCTTCATTTTACTTTGAAATTACTTTTGTGCTAGCATTTTCCATCTGGCCTAGCTTAATCACGAAAAGTGTTCTATGTCCTGCGTGTTATAAATGAAGAATGTGATATGTCAATTTATAGTTTACTTAATATACCACAGTTCAGGGTGACAGTTCAATATTACTCCATTTCAATCTATAATCATGCTTAATATACAACAGTTCAAGGTGAGAGTTCAACATTACGTCATGCCAGTTTCGATATAGTTTTGCTTAATATGCTACAGGTCAGTATGAAGTTCAACATTACACCATCTTACTATTGATATTGTTGTGATTGATACAGCTAATGTGGCAGTTTCACATTACATCTCAATCTATATTTGCAGTTTTACTATAACTCACAGTGTAAAGTTTTTCTGTGAATGCTTCTTGTTTTACTTAAGTCCAATTATGGAGAGAACTTTTCTCTAGTAGCCTACATGGCAAAAAAATATGAGTTTTATCTACTTACCAATATGCCTAATGAAGACTAGTTCATTCTTTTGTCTGCATATAGCCTTGTTGGTGAAGATTTTATTATCATTTTGTAAAGATCATGAGGTATATGAAGAAATTAATACTTACTTTACTCATACAAGAACTAATGATCTAGTCGGGAAAATGCGGTCATTAGATTATCTTTTCGTTCAAATGATCATATGAATATTGTCAATTTGCTTGCGATGTTTAAGATGGTTTCTTTATTATTTATACTTGCTAATGAAATTATATTCTAACCGTATTAGCACCAGTACAGCCTTTAGTGAGACGTAAAATTAGATATTAAATTATCCTTTAGTACTTATAATACTTTTGTTGTTTTGGTATATATCTACTTATGTACTTGATTCCGTTGCTCAGTACAATCTTGGCTTACATCCAATTTATTCTGTCTTATAATCTCATACTTGTACCTCACTGACCTAAATGGTCCAATCTAAATTTCTTAGGAGCAAATGATCTTCAATATAATGCCATCCCTGGTGATAGTTTGGATGGCACTGCAGACCCCATGCTTTACCTTGATTCGTTCTGGTTTCAAATTCATGATATGGATCTGAGAAAATTTGAAACGCATTAATATAGAGGGAGTGAAAATTATATCGGAAGCAACTAAGCTTGAAATATTAATTTTGTAAGCTATATGAATTAGAGTGGAATAAACTGAATGACAAGTGGAACAATTCATACTCTTGCACTTCTTTAAAACTCATTACAGAAATTCTCAGTTTTTATAAAATAAATTACCTAATCAACTAGGATAAATATATCTGGGCAAAATTTGCGCAGTAATGCTAAATACAAATTATACTCTATGGAACACAATTGTATACTTTATTGTTTCTCCCTGATCTTTTAGAAGTTGCTGTTTAATACATCTGACCTTAGAAATGCTTCTTCTATTACGAGTTTTAAGAGATTCTTACTCGTAAGTCTGAGCACTAGTTCAAATCTATTTTGATACAGTGGATAGGAAGGGTAGATGACTCATTCACACTTTGTTGCATCAAATTAAAAGAACACCGACTAAACAAGAATTGTTTTGATCCACTATCAAATTCTTGTGGAGAAATGACGGTACAGAACATTGTTTGATCTATACTCGGTCAACAGGCAATGCACTCAAATATTTCATTATTACCCTGTTCAAACTGAGTAGAATACCTAATGGCAATTCTAGCATTACTCACAATAACACTCTCTCTCTCTCTCTCTCTCTCTCTCTCTCTCTCTCTCTCTCTCTCTCTCTCTCTCTCTCTCTCTCTCTCTCTCTCTCTCTCTCTCTCTCTCTCTCTCTCTCTCTCTCTCTCTCTCTGTGCATTCAATATCAAATGAAATTGGTCATCTTAACTGTTACCAAAGCAGATCATCAGATATTTTTATAACCTACTTCTAACTTTACAAATTCAGTTTTTTTCATAAGCAATGTACACAAAACCGAGATTCTACGTGTTAATCATACGGTTTCACGATAAGATGGTCAACAGCTGACAAGGTGAGAAGGGGAAAGAAAGATTCCATATGGTAAAGTCAGCGGCTCTCGCTAAGGTTAAGGATAGAATGGTTACGAAATAATATATTGGGGAAATTACAATGAAATAGTGAAAAAGCAAACACTTTGATCTGCACGAGAGAGAGAGAGAGAGAGAGAGAGAGAGAGAGAGAGAGAGAGAGAGAGAGAGAGAGAGAGAGAGAGAGAGTGAGAGAGATTATAGGAATAGATAAAAAAACGCACAGACAAGGGAACATAAAAAGTAGGAAACTTTTCGACTACCTAGTGGAAATGAGAGGTTGGGAGGAAACAAGCAGATATTGGAGACTTGGAACTCAGCATCGTAAATGAGAATCTAAAGCGAAGGACGATTGCATTTAAACAATACAAGCGAGTGGATAACATAAACATCTTCGGCATGGACGACAGAGTAATTAAGTAAATACCAAAACGAAGCACATACAAGATTGTTTCGTTTCCGAAAATTAGGTTGGAGTGAACATCACCAAATCACGTATCTGGGTGTAAATTTGAACAAATGTAAATATTGTAAAGTGTACATGGGAGCAATCCTACCTTGTTGATGCTCTTGCTGCCTTTTGCTTGTTTTGAGGGTGCTGTACTAATAGCGGTCATCGCAAAATTCAAATAGTACTCAAAACGGTACAACTAACGAGTCGCGCATGCCTTAGAGCGACATGCGACTATAATTTAAATTACTATGGGGGTGGGAGGTGCTGCTCCGTCACCCTGTGGGTTTCCCAATTCCACTGCTGCTTTGGTCCAGCGAAAAGCTATTCTATGTCTGGTGCCGCATGTGGGAACATTTATAGCAAAATCTCCCAGTGTATCTAACCCGGCTGTTTTGCCGATCACCCATCGCTACAGGACCTGAAGGTGTCTGGTGGAGTATGGAATAATGCCATGCCTTTAGCTGGATTTAAGTGCGAGACATATTTGCTTTCACTCATTTTTCTAGGCCTGTATGAATACAGTGGTACAACAATGTTAAGACTTAAGGAGATATATACATATGTATTGGATGGACAGCAGTTCCTATCGCACCTGAACTTATGCTCTTTGCTGTTCACACAGCTCTTGTAATCTGCCTCCACAGCCAGGGAATAAGTAGATCTGCTCAGCCAACTGATCTAACACAAAGAATTGTTTCCGAGGAAACAGATTTAATTGTACAATCTGGTCAACAGTCACATGTAATACCGTCTATTGTTACTTCCGGTAGCAGGTGTAGTCTTATGTAGCATATAGGTAATTATAACTTGTGATGTGTTCCCTACTATACAACTACCCTTCCTGTGTAAATAATACAAGCTAAGAACATAAAATAATGGATGCAATCCTGGGGTAAACCATACCATATCAATACTGAGAAATAAATTGAAACTACTGCCGGGAAACTCTGTTTTGTGTACATAAAATCCGCTGGTCGTTCAGGTTAAATAGCGAGGCCTAGATTCAGCTACAACTTAAGGAATGTTCTATTTGATTGTGAATATCTCACAACATTTGATAATTACATCGATTTATAGACGTACACGAGTCTGAATGATATGTCCTTTAGAATTTATAGTAAATGTAGCAGCTTGATAGTATGGCCTTGCCAATACACATGGTTTGAATTTTTATAATCATATAATTTTTTTCTTCATATTTTTTTTTCTTGAAATGAATGAAATAGAAATATTTGTGTTAATGTCCACTTGAGTATACATTGGGGAACGTTAGAACTACTTTTCTTGTATTTTGATGTTTACAAATCTGAATCTGCCGTCCATCATTCTGTAGGCGAAGCAAAGACTACATTATTCTTTGCAAATTATGTCTATGTATTTATGTGATTTCGTTTTTAATATTTGTTTTGCATCATCTTGTGTCATCGCAAGTCCTTTTCTTCAAGTACTTCTAAATATCCAATTTTTCATTTTTCTTATCATCATGTTTTCACTCTGCTTTCTGTTACACTTACTATTTCTTCGAACATCGTGATAGTTTTCAGATCACCATCGATCTTTTTGGCAGTAACCTTTATATGGCAATATAAAACACCATTGACAAACATCATCTGTTAGCATCGGTTTATCAACAGCATCAGCCTTGAACACAAATATATTAGAGTATTATCATTTTTTTACGTTTCTTACACCTTCTTCATTATAAAGTACAACTTTGACATGGCTTCCTCGGGATGTCACTAGTATTTGCGATTGATATTGAACCGAGATTGCTAACTT